CGGCCTATAGCTGGGCCCGGCCGGGCTGAATCCCCCATAATCGTGGCAGGCTGGGCCCGGCTTTAGTACAGCCTGGCCTACCTGGCCCGTTGGGAACACTATTATTGCCTATGCTGGCTGGCTGGTATATATTGTGACGAGGAGACATACTAGCAGTCCTGATAATTTTACAAGGGGACTTGTCCCACGTCCGTGATTGTATAGGCTGTGCGGGTGTTCGAATCCTTGTTCCAATACTCGTATAAGACCTGGCATAACAGGATGAATCTCCAAACACAAGGGCCATATTTCCGAATCCAGGGTAAGAGGAAAAAGGGTAGGGCCTAGGATGAACGGTGAAAGTAACGAACCATCTGATAGGACACAGAAGCAGATATTTCCCCCCGGGGATGTGGTGACTTTAACTCAGAAAAGGCGTGGAGGTCTCAGCTGAGATAGAAAGTATTGTGGGACCAACACCAGTAAAGTATAAGAAGAGGTGTAAAGGGATAAGGGGAGTGGGAAAGGAGGCCATTCAGCTGTTGAAAGGGTGTGGCTACTAGCGGAGGGGCTACTGGAGATTAATACATCGGTAACCCCGTTGTATCACGGAGGGTCACTCGGTCCTTATGATACCGGCTTCGATTATTTGGTCAAGGGTAGTGGAGGAGGGTGGTCCACCAGAGACCTTAGTCCATGGTGGGGGTTGCGGATTCTGGGGGGGGGGGGGGCATAACGGCGCTATAGTCCCCGCGCGGCGGCATGCGATCAGAGCCTTCTACCTCCACCGGACTTGCTACAATCTCATCCGGAGGTTGGATGCACAGTGTAGATCACTGAACATGGAACGCTTATCGAATGTCCAAAACCCGAAAGAGATTCGTGGGACGAGGCGGTGGAAAGGGCTTTAACCTACACGGAATTTAGATGACGCAAGTGGGTCTCTGCCATTGTCTGGTGAGCTGCACCAACAGGGGCAGGGTGAGCCAGGAGGCACTCCTGAAGGATTATCCGAACTATAGAGGCCGCCCTGCCTACCAAGGCAGGCTCCGGAAGCCTCACTATTGAAGGAACGTTGTCAGTATTGAAACCTGGTGGCCCCTCGTCGACCTAGAGCGTGATACAGTTTGTCTACTTTTGGGGGCCGCAGTGCGTTAGGATATCCACATCAGGGCGGGAATGCCGAGCTTCGACATCTCCCATATTGTTACTTTCTCCGACCCAGGGTTACATCATATTGATTATAGATTCTTGCAGGATTGCATCGATATTTAGCGAGACGAGCGGGAATCTGTATATGTATCCGTTAGTTAACCTGAGGTGGCCTCACTAGTGTAGTCGCCTCCATGTATATTTCGGAAATATCTTCATGAGGCCTCTCCAGGATATCTATCTCCAGACCAATATTCATCTCATCGGGAGCTTGGCCCCCCTCCAACCGCTACTTCCCGCCGGCACCTCACCCAGCCCCCTACAACCTGTTTGAGAAGAGCGCATACCCCCCGGTAACTACCCCTCTTGGACGGCGGATTCGGGGCCATGGTAGTGTCGACCTCGCGTGCTTTTAACGTGGCCTAAATGCCTCACGTGCCTCACATGAGTGTAGGCCACACCCCATGGCGGTGTCAATATCGTTGGTGTAGGATGTCTGTCACACCCCGTAGTGTCAAGCCCGCGCGCTTTCAATGTCACCCTAAAACCCCTCACCTGAGTGTCCGCCACAATTGCTATTAAAATTCGAGATCGCGACCACCGTGGAACGAACGAGTCACTAGCTGTGATCGACAACAAATGCCAAGCGCGGACTAAGAGAGGGATTGATCGCACAACTCACGCGCGGGGAAAAAAACTCTTCACTTCTCTCACATACTCTCACTCGCACACGCTATCTACCAACTAACTTCTGTTTGTGCTCGCGCTCACTCTCTCACTAACATAACTAACTAACGGCAAGGACAGGAGTATATATCAACCACGACAAAACACAATCGACAAACCAACTTCTCCGGCCCCCAGGTAAGTCTCCATCTCAGTAGCGAACAAACACAAGCTATCAAAGGAAAGACAAACTCCACCGTCCATCCATAGCCTCCGCCAGGCTTCTCTTCTTTGGATCCACCCATCGTTTTCCTTCCACCAGGATCCAAGCCTCTGCACCCTCCATCGCCGAAGTCCTTTCCCGGCGCCAAACTGATTTGCCGGGAAGGCTGCGTGCGCTCCCCGAAGTGCTTTTCCATAAACGAGGCAAACAACCAAAAAGAAACCAAAGGAAGACAAAGAAGTCCTCCATTCCTTCCTCATGCCCATATTCTTCGTCTTCTCCACTGAAAGACCTCCGCGCTAACAAAGGAAAGTTCCTCCAAAACCTTCCGGCTTCCTCAGCGGCCTTCCACACCTTTCCTTCCACGCCTTCCGATAAACCTCCCATAACCTGCGCCCACTCCCGGCGCCCTAGCACTTCCGCGAAAGCCAAAGCGCGCTCCCGGGAAACTAACAAAAGAAAAACTAACTAGCGTGCGGGCAGACAAACTGCCGCGCGAACCAACAAATGAACGAACGAACGAACGAACGAGCAACGGGACAAAGGGGAGGAAGGAAGGAAGGAGGAGTAGGGGCAAGGGAGAGCATGCCGCGCAGTATTTCGAACAATTGCGGTGTCAAGATCGCCAGCGTGGAATGACGGCCACACCCTATATCGGCGTTCACCGCACCCCATACTGGTAGTAGTGTTAAGCGCCCGCCTGTTGAAGGTTAGTCACACACCCCTTATGAGTGTCGCCACGCCTCAGAGTGGGGTTTGTAGCGACTCTCCCAGAGGAAATGATTCTATATGCATATATTTGGCACTGCCGTGAATGAACATACTACTCGAGTAGAGTGCCTGCGAGCGAATCAAGCTCGGTAATATGTACATAATATAAGCTATCCAGCCTTTTGAACGAGTCCGTCGAAAAGCCTGTATACCACCTAACTTCAATTCTTATAGAATAGCCTTGCGTGAGGTCAATACAAGTTGGAAGGCCACGGCTCAACCAGGCACAGGGGGAATGCTTTATATACATCGAGACTGCCCAGTAAAATACTTCTACAGCCTGGTGCAGAATTGTATCACCGTAGGTTGCTGCATTTCCTGCAATCAGCCCTATAATTCTAATGATTGGGTGGTCAGTCAAAACTAAATGGTTACAGTTCGACGGCTAACCAAGGTGAGGCGGTAAAGCAAAGGTATTGGTAGTCATGTGATATCTCCTATTGCACAATCTGGTGCCATCCCGATACTTGCATAGTTTATGGAGATACACTCAAAGGTTTGGGATGTCATCTTTCAATTAGAGAAGCACAGACAACCCCCATAGATTAGATATTGAGGTGTTCCTCCACCCGCACAGAGCCCATTGAAGCTGACAGCCTATACCACCACCAGGTCCCGATCCGGACGACGAGGGCGAGAGCGTACACGGCTGACATGAGGACTACGAGAGGCACGGTGGCGCTGGCGACGACCAAGCCTTCCGCACCCCCGGAGTAGAATCTGCATTGGTCAGCGTACAGGGATATTTAGGTGGGCATGGATGTCGGTGTGGGCATCAGTGACCTGTGATATGGCAAGGCCGCACAAAGCCCCGATTAGGAAGCCGATAGCTATAGACCACCACATCGCAATCCAAACCATGCCTGCATCATGGCACTCTGCCAAGTGTCATGCTTTCTTGAGCAGTCAGCAAACCTGCCAGACGGCATCGCCCTCCCGCATCAGCCCCGCCGCCGCCGCCACCCATGCTGATTCGCGCTCCTCCTTGTCTTGAGGCCCCGGGACACTGACCTGGTTCTCCTGTCTTCACCGGGAGTGGGCATAGGAGCAGATCGTGGTGACGGCATTGGCCAGTACTTGGGCGAAGCGGCCGTTAATGCTTGCAGAACCCGGCGCCTTTCTAGGGATAGCAAATACCTCCCTGGAGGGACGGGTCACTTGTGGTACGGTAGTTGCGTTTAACGTGTAGGATGTGCTTAACGTGTTCGGAGGAGTGAGAATGGGGATGGGCGGGTGTGTGAGAAGAGGAGCGGAGGTAAGATGGGGAGGGAGGGGGATAGGTTGATGGTTTGAACCTGACTCGAGTAAGGTGCCCGGCTTCAACTCGGCCGCGCGAGTACTATAAGACAGCAGGTGTCGGGGTGGGTCTTGGCATTTGTCAGGTGGTATAGAGGTCTGTATACTTACGCAGCCGCCTTTTATCCAACTTGTGCTATGTATGATAGGACTGGGATTATCTCAGCGCCACACCAAGGGGAGCAGGGTTAAAGGGAAGTGGGAATAGCGAAGGGCCGGCGTCACTTTGGTGTGCTATCATAGCAAGATATCGTTGTACGGTCTGCTAGGATTTAGGTTAATTTCTAGATCAGGATGTTGCCGTGGGTCGAGGGCCAGGGTAAGCAGGGTGGAGGTTTTAAGGTTTGCACTTTGGGCTCTCAGGATTATGGGAAATGGAAAGCCGAGGGGTTGCCATTAGAATGTATCCTCAGCGAGCTTCATAAGCTCCGGTTAGATTCCGCACACTTACAGAGGCCCATTGCACCGCTGCTTGTTCGCACAATGTCTAGTGGCGAGAAGAGGAAGGAAGAAGGTGACCAAAGAGGTTTCATTGATAGCGCAGAGGTTCGCTTCACCCCGTACCATGTTTGGTCGGTCCCCCCATGGTAGCATATATTGGTCGGTCGGGCAGGCAGGAATACTGTGGGGTAACGGCCTATTACTTGGCATCACGACTAGCACGTACCCATTGTCAAAGACGAATTGAGGCACGAATACAGCCTGAGGGTGGATATTGTGGTTCCATGTCGCTGGGCCTTGCTGATGTTGGGCCTGAACATGCAGTATAACTCGCTATGAAAGATGTAGATCCTTGTGAAAGAAAAAGGTAAAGTAAAATAAGACATATAACGAAATACAACCACAGTTTTGATTGACCCTCTCCCCTCTGAAACTCCTTCCCTATTCTCTAAGCATGTCCTCTCATTCACGATTACTCCCATGTCCTCTCATTCACGATTACTCCCATGTCATTGTTACTCCCATGGTTTGAATGGCCCTATACCTCATTAGCTATTGCAGGGTGGAAGGGTTCCCGCTGGGCCGAAACACACCTTTGGGGTAGGCTTTGCAGCTGAAGGGAGGAGTGTTAGTAGGGAGGGAGCTGAGATATTAGGAATTGCACCTCGGACTCAGGAACAAAAGTAGACTAGAATGGGGGCTCAACGAACATGCAAAGCAAAATCACGGTTGGCCAATGCACTTTTACTGTATTGTTCACTGAGTCCACGTGTTCGTTGACCCCCTGCCTAATCTAAATTATCGCTTGTAATTGGGAGCATTGGTCACCCTGGCTTTCGAACATACTCCTCGTCTCATGAGGCCACCTCAGCTAGCAATTGGGCAACAGGCAGCAACTATCCCCCCATCCCACGTCTCCTTCCACTCTCCTGCAAACAATCTACTGCCACAGTCTTACTGTGCAAGGTGAACTCAATTTCCGTCACCGTTGTTGTTTCCTTTCTCTCCCTCTTGACATATCCTCTGCTTGCACTGTTCACTATTCTATTTCTCCATTTCCACCAACCCTTGATCCTCTCCGACAGCGATTCTGCTTCGGTTTTCAGGCCATTTTTTTAGCCTGCTGCTGCTACCCGATCCTCCACTTTTTATCATTGATTTCAAACCATGGCAGATGTGTTCAGTGGCCCCGCTGATTACCCATACTATAGCCAAAGAATATACAAGAAATCAGCCACACCTAGTGCCTCATCGACAACCGATCGCTCTGGCTCCATTTCACAAATAACCCATTCAACTCTACCACCTAGTCCACCCCTCCAAATGAGCCAAAAAGCTACACCCATTGCTGCCCCGACCCCAATAGCTGAGCTTATCGATCCCAGCCAATCTGGCCTTCAGGATCCAAGTCATGCTTTCCGTCAACAAGCTTCCATAATTGGTGACAAAAATAAGTCATCCTTTACGACACCCGGTCGTCTGGCTCGCAAGATCGAGAGACAAATCCGCCAATGCCAACAAGCGGAAAAAGGATGCTACTTGCTGGTCCATGCAGTTCCCCCTGACCAGATCCCACGGATTGATGATGCATTCCGGGCACTGGAAATTCATCGTGCCGTGAGATGCACCTATGAGGAGCTTCTTGAGTCTCTTATCATTAGGCTTATGCCCGGTGCAGCCCATGAAAAAACTGGGGGATCATTCATTAGACGAGTTGAAGCGAAAATAGAGCTCCTGCCTGGCCATTCTTGGCATTCCTACGACACAGCAGGAGCGACACGGTTTTCCACCCCAGGCAAGCGAAGCAAAGAGGGGGACCAGGGAATCATCCCTTCTAACCGGAAACCCCCCAATGACTGGCCAACCTTGGTACTAGAAGTGGGTGATTCTGAGAGTCTACCCTTACTGCAAAATGATGCAAAATGGTGGCTCGAAAATGGTGGGGGAAGAACCAAACTCGTTATCCTAATAAAGATAACCAAAGCTCCGAGTCCAAATTCATTGCACATAGAATGCTGGGAAATGATGCCCGACCAGACCCAGGTTGCCACCCGTAGCCGAACCCCGATGACACCCCAGCTGGACCAATTTTTCAACATAGATGCTGCCGGTGATATTACTACGAATCCAGAAAAAAAAGATAAGGATCTGACAATCCCTTACGATCACATTTTCGATCCTCCGTTTCCCGCCTCAGCCCATGATATTATTATCTCGAACAGCGAACTGTCCGATTGGGCCCTACATATGTTCTCGAGATTTTAATTGTACTACCCCCCCCCCCCCCCCAATGTTGAACTACAGTAGTTTGCTCAAATACACAAAAAAAATAATTTAAGACGTTTCTAATTACTAATATTTCCCGTGCCCAGTGCCACAGAGAGATACCACGAATCCCACCCCCCACGATCGCACGCCGACCCCTCGCCTCATTCTCCATTATTGCTAAATCTTTGCTTTGTTTTTCCGTCGATCCGCTGCAGGTAGTATTCCTCACTGAGGAATAGTGGGTGCCCCAAAATGCAAGGCGGACTTTCTGGGTTGTGTTGTGAAATTTTATTCATAGTGAATTGGGAAATTGAATTTAGTCACAGATGCAGAGAGGCTGAATGATTGGGGTATTAATCGGAATATACTTCAACAGTGGGGCGTCGCGATGTGAAGTTGTTGAGTGTTGAGTGCCGCGTGCTAAATTAAATACTCTACTACTCCGTATTATGCTATCTAGTGGACGGTGGGTGTGAAGATCTTGGTGGGGCGGTTGGATCCAAGAGGGCTCACGAATGTTTTTTTTTTTCTTTTTTTCAGAACCACCAGTATGGTGCCGGGGCAAAATCAACCGAAAACCACCACGGGTATAATTTTCGAGAATACCCAACTACAACCACATCTTTAGCTGGATATGGCTTCATAGAAATTGCTTGGGGGCGCTCCCCTCAGCTCTTTGTCTCATTATTTTCAATCAGGGCAATTTTCGTGGGGGGTGGTGGTGGAGTTTCGGGTTGCACATGTTTGGAAAGTCTCGTGAATTAAATTTACAGCCAAGCCCCACTGTTTTGTATATATTATGTAAGCAACCCGAATCGCACCTGAGCAATTTAATTGGTTTCAATTGCCCGGCACCGTATTCGCAGTATTATAGTTACCAAGAGTCAGCACCTCTATCCCATGGTAATCAATTGTGCTGATTGGTCCAAATCTTTAATAGTTCGTTTGCAGGATGTTGAACTTATTTTTGCTGTTCGTTTTCCCAGCCTGCGGGGGCATTAGGGTTGCCAAGACCTGATCGACTCGTTTGGACCACCCCAAGAGGGCATAAGTTAGCCGCCAGGATATCAGGCCAGAGAGCCTCAAAAAAAAAAATCCTCCCCACCATCGAGCGGGTTTCCCACAAACAAAAAAAAAAACCTCGGCCACTACGATACCACTTGACAATCGTGAATGATGGGTCGGACGGCGACGAAACCCGCCGCCGTCAGAAGGGGCAGTACCAAGTCCGCGAAAAACCACACCTTCCAATCCTTCACCCAAAAGCTGCAGGATCTCAAAATCGACCCGACAAAAAAGGTCCGCCGCCGGGTGCTGGACGAGGCATCCGAGAGCTCGTTCTTCCGCAGCGCGCTGGAGAAATGGATCGATCTGAATTTGTCTACTACGTTCGTGGAATTGTTTGTCCGGCCGGTGCGGCCGCTCTCGGAATCGCTGCCGCACATCTTGCATCACAAAGAGAGGATTTTTGGCTTGCTCGTTGACGGGATCAAGACTAAGGATGTCAATGCGCTTGAGCCGTTACTGGATCTGCTCACGCAGTTCGCGCATGATCTTGGGGTGGAATTTGGAGGGTTTTTCGAGGAGAGTGTGGCGTTGTTGGCGGGTTTGGTTGTGGAGGGCTTTGTGGAGGCGCAAGTTGTCGAGTGGGTGTTTGGAGCGCTGGCGTATCTGCTAAAATATCTTTCGAGATTGCTCGTGGGAGATCTCAGGCCGCTGTTTGGCGTTGTTAGGGGCATGCTTGGCCGTGGTGGTGGGAGGGGGTTTGTGAGGAGGTGTGCGGGTGAAGCTGTCGGGTTCTTGATTAGGAGTGCTAAGGCGGAGGTGGTTAAGGATCTGGTTAGGGCTGTGTTCGAAGACCTTCGGGAGTGTGACGGGGCTTGGGTTCCTGGGTATACGGAGGGATTGATGGGGTTATTTAGGGAGGGGTGCGTGGTGGGTTTTTTTCGTCCTGGGAGTGAGGGGCAGTAGTGGAGGTGTGAATAGCTAATTGGAATTTTAGGGCGTTGATCGGGGGTTACATTCTAAAGCACCGGTAGTGATGGAGTCGCTAGTACAAGTCGCGAAAGAGTTGGGTGAGGATATCGGTGGTCGATGCTTCAAAATTATTGAAGGTGTTTTAATATCGCTCATTCACCACACCAATAACGAAACCTTCCGTCCAGCTCTACAAGTCATATACGCTACCAACAACCTCGGCGATGGATTGAGTACTCGTATGTCTGCACGCCTCCTTTACATATGCCTCACCGTCCGAAAAGGAAACCGTATCGCGGACTGGGGTAGCGCCGGTGAGGTTGCGGTTGCAAACGTTCGGGCCGCTGTGAAACTTTTGGACGAAAGCAACGACGGAGAGGGCGTCAGGGAGACCATGTGGGAGTCGCTTAAGGCCACGGCAATGGTGATGCAAACCGCCGATATGGAGGTCGTCATTTCCCGGCTGAGACGGGTAATGGATTCTGTCAAGGAGTTCCAAGGCGGGCAGCTGTTCTTGCCGTTTTGCGAGTTTTTGGCAGACACGGGGGTGGAGAGGTTTAGGGCTTTTGCGTTGCCGTATTTCCAGAGGTATGTAGTGGGGCGAGTTTGTGATTCTAGGAGCAATGCTAAGGATTGAGGGGATTAGGTTTATTACTTCCAAGTGGACGATAGCAGAGGATAGCCTACTATATTTGATTCCGAAGCTGAGTGCGAATGGATCACTCATTCCTTCCAGTGACTCTGATAGGACTACTATGATGGGGGTTCTGGGAGATAAATCCCCGGTGACGACTGGGGTAGCGAACAATATTCAGGGATTTTGCAAGAACCTTGAGGTTGGCGGTGATCGGGATGCCCTGAGGGCTCGCGCGACGAGGATTTGGGAGTATCTTGATGTTATACTTTCGCTGTCGGGTAGTCTTCAGGGAGAGCAGCTTCCTGGTTGCCTTGTTGATCCTCTGGAAAAATTGCTCAATGGCTTATTTTCGTTACCAGAGAATGCCGAGTTCGCGGCGTTGGTGGGAAAGGTACTAACGGTGTCCTCTAAGTATCCATCAATGGGATCGCGGGGTCTGGAAGAACCACTAGCTGTAGTATTCCCGAAATTAGCAGACAATGCTCTATTCCTCCAGGGCGTTATCGACTTTTTCTCCCTCTCAACAGCCGAGAAACTTACAGACAGCGCCCTCGTTTCCATGGTGGACAAACTAATAACCAGCCTCTCCAGTTCCTCCCATGACATACGCTCACACTCGCTGCGGTGTCTTGAACTCCTCCGTGTTGCTACAAGCCCCCAGAGGCAAGTCTCAAGCGTCATCAACACCGCACAGATAATCGAGAGCACGCCATTAGAAATATCCAATGCAAGGAATATATCGCTCTACATCCGGAGGTTAGCAGGCGAATATTCTTCCGTCGCAATGGGGTCTTGGGAAAGTCGGATTGTGCCGCATTTTTGCTTTGGTTTGTTAACGGTGCACTTTTCACCAGTGTGGGATGATGCTACTTCTGTACTTTTGAGGGTTGCTGAGCGCGATGAGGAGGTGGTGGCTATGCTTTCATTTGAGTGGTTGGAGAGACAGCGCGGGGTATCCCCCGAGGTGAGCGATAGCGGAACCAGTGAGAGTGGGAAGGCCCCATTGAACTGTTTTGAGTGCTCGAATTTCAATATGGTCGAGGCGGTTGCGGATGAGTGTGTCATGGGCGGGCCCGAAGCTATGGCAGATTTGAAGAGGCAGTACGCTGAGGTATGTTGACTCCTTGATACCCTAGGGGATGTCTTTTGCTAACTGTTTAGGCTTTGAGAATATCGACGTTATCCACCTCGGTAGCCCGAATGCAGGCTTTGAAAGTCCTCGCAAAAATCCCGCGCGTCGCGGAAAAGCGGGGCAGGAAGTTGGTACCCATGTTCCTTGAGTGGTCCACCTTTGAGGGCGCGGAAGAGGGCGAGGATGAAGAGGAGGCTAAGGCTCCATCTAAATGGCTAAGAAAAGAGCAATCCGCTATGTTGACATTGTTCACTAAATTCACAAATCCCCGATCATTATATAAATCTGACGCAGTATATCCTGCACTTCTATCCCTACTCACCTCTGGAGACCCGAAGGTTCAGGCACTATCGCTTAAGTGCATATTTACTTGGAGAATCCCCGCTATACGAGCATACGAAGATAATCTTAATAATTTACTCGATGATACGAGGTTCCGTGATGAGGTCACGCACTTTGTACAGATCGATGAAGACGAGTCCATGATCCAGGATGACCACCGGGAGGCTCTCATGCCTGTCTTGCTGCGATTACTCTATGGACGAAGTTTATCTAGAAAGGGCGCAACGTCCGGAAAGAAGGGCATGGAATCCCAAAGGATGGTCGTCCTAGCTTCACTAGCAAACTTTAAACAATGGGAGCGCGAGCTGTTCATTGACATTGCACTTGGAGATCTTGCGGAGGCATCTGGACAGTTCATCGAGAAGAGCCCTGGGAAGTACATCCTTCATATGGCAGCGCTCGGCACTGCCCATATGCCAAACAGGAAGCAGATGGGTTTTGTGAGGATGACTAAGGATATGATCCGCCAGTTGGGGTCCACGCTTTTGCCGTTTATGGAGAAGATTGTGGATGCTTCTCTGTATTGTCTAGTCATGGCTACAAATACCATTAATTCCCGGGAGAATAGCATGGACGAGCGGGAGGATGCTCTTGCAGTGAAGGCTGCTCGGGCGATTCGTCAAGAGGGGTTTAAGTGTTTGGGTGCGTTGTTTAGTAGTTGTCCTATGTTTTCATGGGCACATTATATGCCGGCTATTTTCGATGCGTTGGTCACCCCCCGGCTAGATGCTCTCCCCGTAGAGACCTCCCAGGGTCCTTCCGGATTGCTGCGGCTATTCTCCATATGGGCGAATTCCAAGGACACTGTCATGTTTCTGGCAGACTACAACCCAACAGTGTTCTCCAAGATAGCAGCGTGCCTCGCAAACAAGAGCGTAAAAGACGAAGTCGTCCTATTCATCATTAACATGGTCGAACAGATTGTCTCACTCGTGGACTCGGAAGGCGGCGTCGGACCAAGGCTACTGGAACCAAATGTCGACGTCCTATTAGTCAACCTAGGCGGCATCCTGCGCAAGAGCCCCAGTAAAGAAGTTCTTGAACAGGCTGTTGAAGCGATTTCTCTAATCGCGCCGTTCGTGTCGGGCGATATGGAGACTACGCACTTGGTGGAGATTTCGGTCTTCTTGCTACATCAGCCATCGCGGAGGGTTAGCCCTAAGACAAAGAGTGATATCCTCACGATTTTATTACACTTCCTTCCTTTATGCGTTATGGATAAGGGGAGCAAGTTGTATGAAGATGCTTTCCGATGTGTGTCTTCTCTATTCGGGTTCTTTAAAGATAGAAAGAGTAGAGAGACGTTGGCAGGTGTACTCAATGTGTTCGCCGAACGGGACGAGGAGCTCGTCCAAGTCGCGGAATTATCTAGACAACTCAACTCCTTCTCCGGTAGAAGGCTCGACGAGCCAGACTTCGAGCAACGCCTTCGGGCGTATGGTAAGATTAACGAGGACCTCTACCTACAGTTCTCGCCAAAACAGTGGATGCCACTCATATTCAACATGCTCTTCTTCATCCGCGATAACGAAGAGTTGGCAATCCGCACGAACGCCTCATACGCACTCAAGCGCTTCGCCGAGAGTTGCGGGCAGAAATTTGAAACCGAAGAGAGGGAGGCGTACCTCGGGATTCTGTCGGAAACTCTCATGCCTGCACTGACAAACGGCGCTCGTGAGCAATCTGAGCTTGTACGGATGGAGTACGTCGCCGTCGTAGCTCACATAGTCAAAGAATGTAGTATCTGGGAAGAAGCCGGAGACATGAAAGCACTCCTTGTCGGCAATGATGAGGAAGCTAACTTTTTCAACAACATCCTTCACATCCAGCAGCACCGCAGACTCCGCGCGCTACGAAGACTGACTCTCACTTCGCAGAGGGAGAGCATCCGGAGTTCGAATATCGTACACTTTTTCTTGCCCCTAGTCGAGCACTTTATCTTTGATCAGGCGGAGGACGGGCATAATCTTGCCTCCGAAACGGTGGTAACTATTGGAGCATTGGCGGAGCAGTTGACGTGGACGCAGTACCGTGCGCTGTTTAGGCGGTATACGGGATACCTAAAATCAAAGCCGGAGTTGGAGAAGATTGTCGTTCGGTTGATAGGCACGGCCGTGGGTGCGCTGGTTCGTGCTGCCTCTGCGAAGGAGAGGGCTGCGATAGCGGTGAAGGATGGGGATGGAGATGTTCCGATGGGCAGTCCTATGGGCCGGCTCGCGGAGTCGCTGCCGGAGCAGCAGACCCTGGCGGAAGATATTTGCAAGGGGTTCCTATCACCATTGAAGGAGTACCTGCATCAGAAGGAAGAGTCGACGGTTAGCTTGAGGATTCCGATCGCTGTTTCAATAGCGAAGTTACTGAAGCTTATGCCTGATGATATGCTTCGGCTTCGACTACCCCCTGTTCTCACGGACGTGTGCCATATTCTCCGAAGCAGATCTCAGGAATCAAGGGATATGACTCGGAAGACGTTAACGGAGATTACTACGCTGCTAGGGCCGCAGTACTTTGAGTTTGTGCTTAAGGAGCTGAGGGGTGCTCTTTTGCGTGGTTACCAATTGCATGTGCTGTCATTCACTATGCACTCGATTCTTGTCTCTGTTGCGCCGACGTACCCTCCGGGCGCTCTAGACTATTGCGTCAGTGAGGTGGTGTCTGTTGTTATGGACGATATCTTCGGCGTTACGGGTATGGAGAAGGATGCGGAAGGATATATTAGTAAGATGCGGGAGGTTAAGAGTAGTAAGAGTTATGATTCTATGGACCTTATGGCGTCGATGACCACACTTCCGTACTTGGGGAACCTCGTTCGGCCTATTGGTGCGTTGCTAAAGGAGAAAATGAACCTGAGGATGTCGCAAAAGATCGACGAGCTCCTACGAAGAATTACAGTCGGACTACTAAGGAATAAAGAAATCGAGTCTGAAAAGATGCTCATCTTCTGTTACGAGGTCGTCCAGGAGGGATACAAGCAGGACTCAGCCGAGCCCCGAGAGAAAGGATTTGACCCCAAGACGCAGCCATACTTGGTAAATCTAAAGGTTCCTTCGAAGGCCGCTTCTGGAGTAACCACTTCTTCGCACATGTATAAGCTTACCAGGTTCGCGCTGGATCTTCTCAGGACCACACTGCAGAAACACGATAGCCTAATGACGCCGAGGAATCTGGCAAACTTTGTTCCCGTGATTGGGGACGCTTTTTTATCGAAGCATGAGGAGATTCAGATTTCTACGTTGCGAGTTCTAACGACCATCATTCGAACCCCTCTTCCCGCTATTGACGAGGGTGCGGAGGTGTTTATGGGGCAGGCACTGAGCTTTATCAAGTCTTGTCCGTCAATGAATGTAGAACTTGCACAAGCCAGTCTGAAGCTGATGTCGTCTGTCCTACGGGAGCGGAGGAGCGTCAAGATCAAGGAACGTACAATAGGGTATCTACTCACCCGCGTGAAGCCCGACTTAGAAGAGCCCGACCGCCAAGGCGTCACCTTCAATTTCCTTAAAGCAGTGCTGACCCGCAAGGTTGTTATCCCGGAAGTGTACGACGTCCTGGATAGTGTGGCTGCAATCATGGTCACAAACCAGACCCGCTCTGTGCGAGATCTTGCAAGAGGCGTGTACTTCCAGTTCTTGATGGAGTACCCCCAGGGTAGAGATCGATTCAGCAAGCAATTGGCGTTTTTGGTTAAGAACTTGGACTACGTCCACCAGTCCGGCCGCCACTCCGTGCTTGAAGCGGTCAACCTCCTGTGCACAAAGGTAGGCGACAACCTCATCCAGCAGATCCTCAGTACCTTCTTCGTCCCATTAGTCATGCGCCTAATCAACGACGACTCATCCGAGTGTCGGGAAATGGCCGGTGCATTGCTCAGAAAGGTTCTCGAGCGCGCCGACGTAGACAACCTCTCGGCATTCACGGGACTGGTGAAGAACTGGCTGGATCAAGACCAGAAACCGCTCTTGGTCCGCTCAGCACTGCAAATTTATGGACTCCATCTAGATGTGTCACCAACCTGTGCGAAGGAAGACCTCCCATTTGTCATGGGGAAACTGCAATCTATCATTCGAACATCCAGCACCGACCAAAACGCGCACTGGGAGAATTTATACTTTTCCCTGCAGACGTGGGCCAAAATCGTACTGCTCTTCCCAACGGCCGCGTTCTCGGTCGATCAGGCGCCCGTATGGACTTGCATCCGCGACTGCCTGTCATTCCCGCACGCTTGGGTCCGCCTCTCAGCGGCGCGCCTAACTGGCCTCCTATTCGCGGAGTATGCCGCCAAAGCCACCCTCAGCACAATGCCACTAGACAACGGCGCTGGACTGACACTCTCGGCGGAAGCCATGATCCGCACCGCGCGCCGAACCTCCTCGCACCTGAATTCCCCAGAGTTGAGCGAGGAATTAGGACTTCAGGTGGTGAAGAACTTACTGTTCCTGGCAAGATGCTTTCACGCCGCGGGGGTGGAGGCTATATCTTCCGTCCCTGTGAACGATCCCGAACTCGACGACGTCGAGGAGGAGCAGCAGCAGCAGGAAGAGGGGAGAAGGTCGGCGTTGGAATGGCTAGCTCAGAGAATTTCCGCAATCCTACGCAGCGAACGGAACATAAAAAAGGGACTTCTAGGGAAGAGATTTGCCTTGCAGTGGATCGCCGCTTTGGTCCTGTTCCTCCCGAAGGAAGATCTCGAACCGCTGGCAAAGATGCTCATAAGGCCGCTATATAACGTGCTAGAAGTAGGCGACATGCACCTCATGAAAGGTATTTCTCCCCACCACCCCTCGTTTGGGAATGAAGAAAGAAAAAAAAAGTACTCTCTAATACATGATGTTTGGATGCGTAGACCTCAAGCCAACTGCCCAAGAAGTCCAATCTTCCATCGCGGAAAAGCTAGGCACCACTTTGTTCGCTGTCATCTACAGCCAGATTAAGAGTGAAGCGCTAGACAGGAGGAGGGTCAGGAAGGGGAAGAGGGCGATTCTGGTATGCCCTCTTTCACTTTTCGTACGTAGAGGTGGGGTCGGACTGACATTTCGTAGGCTGTTGCAGATCCGGAGAAGGCTGCGGCGAAGAAGATTAGAAAGCATGAACGGAAGAGGGAAGTTAGGAAGGAAAAGGGAAAGGTGCAGAGAGAGGGGAGATGGGGGAGGGGTGGCTAGTCTCCTTTCATTGGATGGGTGTATTATAGTCTTTTTCTTTCATTTTCATTTTTTTTTTTTTTCATTTCCATCCCAAATCGATACGATAACGTTCGTGTTTATCGCATACGGTCTGTCAGTTAGTACAGTACATGTCACAACACAGCCTTTACCGGTAGAAGTATAGCACCCCCTATACGATTTCAAAAATTCCTGAATTCGTTACCTCCTCACCCACCCATTCACTCATTCACCCATCTACTCACCTACGCTGTTACACCCGTACTGGTACCTCTACTAAGCACACACACACACACACACACACAAACAAAAAAAAACACAATCCAGCACGATAAACACACTCACAAGCAAGCAACACACTCCCCGCACTACAACAAAAAAAAATCAACAAAATCACAAATTATCACTCGTCCATCTTTACCCTTCCTCCTTCCTTCCTTCACTCACAGATTCATCCATTCTTCCGTAAGAAAATTGGTGCCCCGTATCGTGATATGCGTCATGATGGGCATCGGATATTTCTACTTGGGTGAGTGTGTGGATGGGGTCGGATCGCTGTGGGGTGTGTGTGTCAGTGTGTGTGGAGTTATTGAGTGACTGGTGGGGTAGCGGCCGGGCGGCTAGGTGGGGCGTTATGTGCGGATGTGGTGTTGGTGTTTCGGGTCCTGAGTTGGCGGGTTTATTGAGGTGCTGGAGGAGGGTGGGTTGTTGTGCGGTTGGGTTGGGTGGTGGGATTGTGCCGTGGGATTTGCGTGGATGTGGAGGTTGGAGGTTATTTACCTGTATATATTGTTGGATTTACATTGATTGCTCTTTGGATGAATTACTGGTAGCGTGAGAGAAGAGTTTTGGAATGGGTGTCACAGATGAATAACAAGGAGCTTATTTTTTTTTGAGGTATACCATTTCAGTGACAAGGCAGCTTCCCCTATACCCGCCAATTGGGGAGTTGAAGGGATGATAGCTACTTCAATCTCTCCAAAACCTTAATAAGGTCGCCAAGAACACCCATAGCCGTAACCTCTGCGCCAGCACTACTCACGCGCAAGAGTGCTTGTTAGCCATAGTACCCTGCTCGGGAGAAATGCATTAAAACTCACCCAGCCCCCTGCACAATCATCGCCCTCTCCCCATACCTCCTAGTATAGAAGCTGATAATATTGTCACTCCCCTTCAACCCCGCAATCGCACTACCCCTATCAAAGTTCCTCAAGCCAACACTAACCTCTCCCTTCCCGACGTCTAGACTGCCAACATACCTAACCACCGCGCCCTCGCTCTCCGCCGCCGTCTTGACCTTGTCTATTTCACCGTCAAAGCCTGCTAGCCCAACCAGGAACTCCTCCGCGCTAGTAGCGGACTCTAAAGGTTTCGGAATCAGGGACTGGATGGGGAAGGACGTTGGCTCCGAGACTTGCAGTCCCGAGAGACGGGCCAGGATCGTCAACTTGCGCGCGACGTCGAGGCCGTTGAGGTCGTCTCTCGGATCGGGCTCTGTGTACCCAAGTTCTCTTGCTTCGGCGACGCAAGCCGAGAAGGGCTTTTCAGAACCGGAGGGCGAGAGCGGAGCGAAGGAGTTGAACAGGTAACTCATCGTCCCAGAGAATACACCCTCGATCTTGACTATTTCGTCCCCTGTATCTATCAAGTCCTTCAGCGTGCTCAGTACCGGAAGTCCCGCGCCTACTGTAGCCTCGTGGAATACATATCCACCATTCTGGGCTCCGCTCGCAGCGTAGATCGCCTTGAACAGGTCTAGCGAGCTGGAGAAGCCTTTCTTGTTCGGCGTGACGAGGTGCACACCCGAAGATAGGAAGCGCGGGTACTCTGCCGCGATTGCTTCAGAGGAAGTGTTGTCAACGAGAATCACCGGGCCCGGAGCGGAGGTCAGGAATTTGAGGGTTTCGTCCGGGAAGCTGGGGGGCTTGACGCTGACGCTGCTGGAGGCAATGTCGGATTCCCAGGTGGCCAGGTTTAGCCCCGAGTAGTCTCTCGACAGGATGGCTTTCGAAGAGCGGGAGATGAGAATCGTGCTTATTGTGTGCTTTTTGCTGCGGAGGGCGTAGGAATTTAGTTGGCTGATGAAGGATTTACCGACGCCGCCGGCGCCTACGGAGAGGGTTTGTCAGTCAATTGCAAATTTAAACTGGGGCATGGGGACTACCGATGATTGCAACGTATACCTTGGGCATTTCGAAGGGATTGAGTATTGGTGTTGGTGGATTGTCTTGTTGGCGCTGTTTTGGTGGTTGAGATGTTCAGGTGGGGCAATGCGGGGCGGGTTTGCTTGGATGAAACTGAGATGCTGTGGTTATGGTATCATACAGCACAAGTACCCATAGCGACCCTAATTATAAAAAGCAATCAATATCATGGAAAAAAAAACTTCATCACACAATCACGACATTTGTTTCCGCTAGGGTGTAGGCCAAGAGTGGCTTAGTGCGGTGGGATGGGCATCCCTCGTCCGATAAGCTTGACATCTTTCTATTATTCAGAGTCCCAGCATGGTATAAATATCATACAAAAATTTATTTCTCGAAGTGATATCAGGACACTGCACAATGCAACCTTACAGCAAGCAACGGCTGCCACACCATATATACAAAACCTACCTCGAGATCTCTTCCCTCCAACCTTTCCATCTTTCTGCTTCGATCTAAGGGCTAACATTAAATTTCATTTCAATACCCATTGCTACTAGTTCCACGTCCAGATATCTGCAGGAAATTTAGTTCTAGGTCCATTATCACGATACACGAGGATTTGAAACCATACTTTAGAACATAGGGCACCGCCACAACAGTCGTATCCTTCCCACCAACAAACCTCCCACCCAGTCCATCCTCCCAGATCATTTCTTTCTCTTCCAGTCCGGTAGCTGGCACAGCACACCGCCTACACCGAACTACACTTCCGAAACTGCTACCACGCACGCTCGGCGTCGTAGACAGGAAACTACCACATGCCCTGCAAATCCAAGTCTGTGTGTAATCCGAACAATTGAACAGTCGGTCCTGCAGTAAGAAGGCGCCTCCGTGGGCTAACAATGAATCACGCTCCATTTCACCGACACGGATACCCCCCCCCTTCCTCCTACCCTTGATGGGCTGATGTGTGAGCTCAGATATCCTACCAGTTGTTCGAACTTGGTACTTGTCATTGACCATATGGCGTAAGCGCTGGTAATATACGACGCCAATGTAGATATCAGCGTGCAATTCCTCCCCCGTGATCCCAGAGTACATCGGTTCGTTCCCGTGGTAGTTATACCCGGCAACCTTCAACTGGTGTCCAAAGTAATCAGCAGCGGTGTTCTCCTCATCGAACCTGAACGGCGTAGAATCCTGTGCAATCCCATGCAGCGCCCCGGATTTCCCGGCTAGCGATTCAACAAACATGCCTATCGTCATACGTGACGGGAAAGCGTGCGGGTTTATGATAATGTCCGGCTGCATACCTGACTCTGTGAAGGGCATGTCAATCGACGGCCACTTTTGCGAGCAGACTCCCTTCTGTCCGTGCCGGGAGGAGAACTTGTCACCAATGTTGGGAGGCCGGGGGATCCGGTACTTGATTGATATCTCTTGCATGGGTTTATTGTCGCCACCTTCGGAGCCCAGAAGGCGGACTTCGTCGATGTATGCATCTTCGCTGCTCTTGTAGACGAATACCTTGTTCTCAAGTCTCGTCCTGTCGCCTTCTTTTGGAATGGTGTGGTAGACTGCGACTGCATCACCGTCTCTGACCAGTTGGCCGATTATCGGGAGGCCGTCCATGTCCACTGTTCTCATCCAACTTTGGCGGATACCGATTCTCTGATAGGCCTTCCTTTTGGATGCTTTGGCCTCGTCGGTGCTCTCATCCATATCGTGTAGTTCGTCAATATTGGCACTGATTTCATCGGGATTAGCGAATCCAAATAGGAACTTCAATTCCCTTGAACGGGTTCGCCTTTCCTCAGCCCATCCAAGCTTTTCCGTCTTGTATACTGTCCCATGGCCGAAGCCTCTTTCGTGAGCCGACTTGTTCAGAATCATGGCGTCATCCATGTCGTATCCAGTATATGAAATGACGGCAACAACAGCATTCATCCCATTAGGGAAATTGTCAAGACCGTATTCATTATACAATGGAGACCTCACAATCGGTGTCTGTCCAGTCTGCAGCCGATACATTTTATTGTCACTTCTGTAACGCAGAGCTGTCCCCGGTGTGCCCATTGCTTGCTTGCCCATCTGGCATTGGTACATGTTACGCGGGGACTGGTTAAAATCAGAGAATGGCGTCATGTTCGCAATGATGGAGAGGATATTTGTGGGATCAAATTCAACGTGTGTTGTTCCTCCCGGGACGATTTCTAGTGGGGTTACAGCGATTGACATATACGGCTGTTCAAATGGACCGACCAGATCTTCCTTATCCAGAGGTAGATACTTGGTTGGTCGGATCATTCGTGCCTGCTGCGAGAAAAGGTATATACCGGGGTACTGGCCGCCCCTAGATATAGGAACAAACCCGATTTCCAAGTCAAGTGGTATGTTATGGCTCCCCTCAACCTTCCAGAATCGTAGAGTATCCGCGACCACCTTAGCGAGCTTTGGTGAACACCAGCCCACAATACACCCATCTAACTGAATACAAACTGTCGCTGAGTGAGGTAGCGGTGAAGTGGCCGACGATGTAACCCCAAGGGAAACAAGAGTCCTGCGAATAGAGGAAACATCCGAAGGAGCAGTTGCGATTCGGCATTTATGCGCAAGATGGTTGAGCAATCCACAAGGGGTTCCATCAGGAGTATGTACCGGGCATAAGAATCCTAGGCACTTCTCAGCAACTCGTGAAATACAAGGGCGTGGATAGCTTACCCCAACTTTCAGGCAGTAACTTTCGGACAGTGGTGGTCTTCAACTGTGCAAAAAAACTACCTCGATGCACCATCCTGAAATGTGAGATGAAACGATAAAAATTAATCTTTTCCGCCACAATAGTGAACCCCGAAACCTGCTGTAAATCGAGACCACTAGGAGAAGATAAATTTCCGGTGGAGATGAAATACTCCAGACTGCTTCCTATATTCCCACTCGTCCGCTGGAACATCCTTGCTCGATGCTCTTTGTTACTAAAATCCAACACGTTCCCGCTTTGGACCTCTCTCCGGACATCCTTCACAATCGCTTCCAGGTACTCCTCAGCTCGCTCTTTAATAATCATGGCATAGAGGAATCCCCCAAGGAGAACTTCCTGATGTTGAATAGCATCGGGATTATCCACCTGACACGTCCCCTCCGCCAGAGCATACAGCTTCCGAACCATGAACAGCAGCAATCGGTATTTATCCCTAGGATCCTCCAGATGCACTAAAACAATCTTTCTCAAGAACTCCTTCCCAACTTCCACATCACTCAGATCCGGCGACACCCCCATTACAATCCTAAACTTCTCACCCAAATGCTGCAGGTTCTCCTTTCGGGTGAGCAGCTGATACCCCTTGAACGTCCTGAGCAACAACTCAACCCGGTCAGTCAAAAACGTGTCCTCCATATCCCTCGTCGTCAGCAACCCATCGAAGATCTCGCGATCATTGGTCTCAACAAGCGCCTTCATTACCATGATGACGGGAACAAGGTACTCGTTCTTCCGCCACGAGAAACGGAAGGTAACGTTTCCGTCGTTGAGGTAGTGAAGGACGTTGGTCTGCGAGCTCTGATCCGGCCGCACACAGCGGATTTGGACTCCCATGTTTGTGTAGGATTTTCCCCTTCCGGTGAAGGAAGGTCGGATGATGGCCATTGGGTAGTTCCGGCGCTGGACGATGAGCATACGGATTAATTTCTCGATGCCATTGACGATGAAGTACCCGCCTAGCTCTTCCGACTCTTCTTTCCTCTCCACGAGGTCATGTGGGGAGAGGTTTTCTAGGTGGCATCGGTTTGACTGTGCCCCGTTAGTTGAGACAAACGCCAGAGCAGTGGGAGAAGAGAGCAGATACATACCCCCACCATAATTGGAATATTCCCAACTTCCCTATCCTGCGACACCCATGGCCCATCATTGATCCTCAGCCCCAGTTTCACCGAGAGCCTCCCTCGGTAGGTAATATGCCTTTCCCTACACTCCGCAGGGAAGATCTCTCTCTTCAGCGTAGTCTTATCCCTCTCGCTAATCTTCGGTTTTCCGATGTAAATCTTGTCAATTCTTACTGAAACACAAGTTAGCTCCCCCTTCTCACCCCGCAGAGATATGAGAGCAACTCACAGGAGAGCTTATTCCCTAGCACTTTCCCATCGCCTTTCCCGTCAAACACACACTTCACTCCGATATCTTGCCGCGCAAGGTCCAGCAAACCACCCTCAGCAGTGATCGCATTGAAAGACTCGATATGTGGCTTCACAGCGTTCAGCAATGCTGGGAAGGCAGATTTATCTTTTGGTGGATTGCGGAATAGGTCTCCCCACCTAAGTGTGTTGAAAGAGGTATTTGGCTTGATAGTCGTCACCATTGTTCCCTCTTTCCTTCCTTCCTTTCCCACCTTTGAGGTAAGCATTTGCTTGTTTTGCGAAGGGGGGAGAGGACAGGAAGCTGCGTATGTCGTATCTTTTTTTTCCACTCCTCCGCACAACAATGTGTTTATACATAAAATTTAAACCGGATGTTCCCGCTCAAGGATAATTTTTTTAATACGGTACAGTACCCCCCCCCCTAGCACTAATGGGTTACCCGGTTCGCTCTACCTAACCCACGGGTAAGACAACCCAGCGCATATGCAAGGGTTAGGTTTTCCATTATTTACCCAGCATTGAAGATCCAACCCCACTCACATTGAACCCAAGCAGGCTCTCATATCATACCAACAATACCAGCACTGACAACAACAACAACCCCGCAGCTATCATACCCATCACCAACCGCCATGTCCGAATACTCCTTCACCTCCGACTCCGACTCGGGCTCCATCATCATGACCCCAACCACGGGCTCCGAATACTCCCCCGACGCCTCATTGCGCGAGTCTTCCCCATCCTTCTCCAGCCGCGACAGTGGCTCCGACGGCAGCGGCTATGGCGACGACGACGAGGGCGACGCGGAGGCCGAGTGGCAGGAGAGTCTACAGCAGTTGGAGCTGCTGCTGAGTCTGGTGCTTGTTCCGTTTATTGGGAAGTGGGTTGGGAGGAAGTGTGCCTATATCGGTATGCTTAAGACATCCCATTTGATGATTGGGGTGGGGGCTAATGTACAGGATAGCGTGGTCGAAGTTTATGAGTTGGAAGTATCCTGTTGACGTCGTTGTGGAAAAGGCCGCGCCTAAAATCGTGTTGTCGGTGGCGGTTTCATCACCGTGGTAGAGAGGGGGTCGGGGTTGGAATGGAATATCGTCCGTTTTTATTTCTTGGGAGGTATATGTTCGCTGGAGGCAAAGCTCCTGGAGAGATACAAATTACAGCGCTATGGAGTAATGGGCGTGAAGTTATTTTTCAATTTTTTTGCTATCCTTTCACCGGTCGATGCTTTGTGAGACCTCTCTCCTCGCAAAGCGTAGCTTTTTCAGTTTGCTTCGTTTCTATTATATCATAAGCACGAAGAGGGAGAAGGTCATTGAGCTAAGTTAGAGTGCTTACCAAAGCATTGTACTAGAATATGTATGCACAAATCCCCTTAACCCAACCATGCAAGCTATTATAATTTTACAGCGCTCGAAAAAATTGAATTCTATCCCTTCCTCTCCTCCTCCTTCAACCTTTCCACTAACTTCCCCCTCAAATAATCACTCAATCCCAGTCTACCCCCACCAAAAATTAGCCTCCGTTCCGCCCCTCCTCTCCAGAGAGAAATACTCACATCCCCTCGTTAGTAACGACCCTATAAGCCATACACGCCTCATACCCCCCTTCCACCACCCTTCCCTCCCCGTCAACCTCCACGCTGCCAATAATATCCCCTGGGTCACCCACCCTCCCGAATGGTGGCGGATTCCTCAAGTCGTAAACATGCACCCATCCCCCCATCCCCCCACCTCCCACCCCGCCCTGCAAATTCGCCCCGCCAGCTCCACTCCCATCTTTACTCACCGCCGTTCCGTGCGTCCTGCGCGCGGCGAATATGCTTGAGCCCCCCGGGGATGCGTATGTCATGGCCGAGGCTTGTACCTCGGGACAGTTGTGCGCGTGGGTACGTAGGGTTTCGTGGAGGAGGGTAAGGAAATGCGGGTTTGTGTGGAAGGTGTTGGGGGTTGGTGGGAGAGTTCTGGCCGTTCCCAGGGATAGGCGCGGATTTGGGGGCGTGGTTTGGAGGAGAGTTAAGATGTATGCGTCTGGTGGGCCCGGGGAGATGTACTGCTTGCTTCTTAGCTTCCGTATTGGCTGCTATACGGGGAAAGAGCAGGGAGAGGGGGGTACTATGTGTGGATTATTCTCTAGCGTCGAGAGGGAGCGTATGAACCGTGGCTTTTGATCCCATCGGAAGGATCTCGTGAGTAGCCTTGCGCCGGGTCTTTGTAGAAATAACATTGGGTCGAACGAACGATGGGAATGGTTGAGCTTGGGATCGATAACTCGACTTACGGTAAGGCAATGACGTCGTGGGATATGGCAAGTCAAGAGCTTTGTATGATTGAAGGCCGGGTAGCTGCGCTGGCTCACTGCATAGGTTCTGCAGACCGGTATTCCAGTCACTGGGTGTCAAACCTCACCATGATTGCGCCCCCTAAAACCTATACGAACAATTCTGGACTTCGAGCGGTTGAATCCTAAAAAATCCAGGCTTATCATATTTGCATATGTAATCGGCATGTCATAATGAATCATTCAGATATCAGTATCCATAGTATTTCCAGAAAAGCACACCTGTGAAAACACCAAAAAAAAAAAAAAGCCATCTACCATTAGAAGGAAAATAGATTTAAATCAAAATATCCACAGCCCCCGGAACCTGATCCCTCAGCGCGCATCAAAGCATCACATAATATCACTCGAAAATACTCGCCGACAAGTCAAACCTGCAGGGCTAAAAAATTCCACCCCATTCCCTGCCCCCACTCACACCGCTTAATACCCCACCGCAGCCCCACATATAGCCATCATTCATCGAGTCATAGTGCTCCGAGCGCCTTCTTAAAGGTTTCCAGCAATTCCCCAGTCTCTTCGAGTCCAACGCTTACCCTCACTAGGTTTTCTTCAACACCATATCCAGCCGCCCAGTCTAGTTCACCGTAATGCGCCAATAGCGTGTAGGGTGATGCAAGAGTAAAGTTGGTCCCAAGGCTAGGCCCCTTGGAAACCTCGAGGGCATCAAAAGACCTAATTGCATCCTGGGTGGTATGGAATGTAACGCTCAAGAGACCGCCGTATCCTCCGCCAGGTCGACGGCAGCTGTCATAGAAGGGCTTTGTCGGAGAGTATTTCGGATAATAGACCCTCTTAATCCTGGGATGGGATTTGAGTAGGTCTGCAACGGCCTCGGCATTTCTATTGATTCGCTCAATACGGGAGACAAAGTCTCTGCTGTTACGCTCGAGGAAGAGGGCATCTTCACACCAGTGATTGTCCTCGTAGTCTGCGGTGAGGGCTTCCTTTAGTTGATTGTAATAACGGCCTTTAGGATTTAATATAGAGCTATAATCCCGTTAGTGCGATGGATATCGATAGGAGGTCGGGGAGATTGTACCTTCCGCCCATGACATTGCTATCGCCGCTGAAAACCTTGGTGAGACTACTAACAACAACATCGGCGTACGGCAGGACATGAACATTCAGAAAGTTTCCAACCGTCTCGTCGACAACGACAGCAAAACCATATTTATCCGCAAGCGCTTTAATACGCTGTAGATCAGGCGCCCTGAGCAGAGGGTTCGAAGGGAATTCGCAAAACAATACTAGGATGCGTTCCTCGGATTCGAGCTTCTGTTCTAGATCATCAAGCTCTTCTGATGAACCGTGACCGTAGAAGTGACATCCAGGACCGAATCTCTCCAGGATCTTGAGGGTATCAATATACGGAAAGCTTGGACATAAGGTTAGTGACAGTTATTAGAGAAGCGAGCTGGAGCGTACCCATAGCAAACACTCTTACTTGGCCCCAAAGTGACCATTAACATTCTATGGGTATTAAATATTGCACTCATCCCGGTGGGATATAAGTAAACATCATTCTCGGAAAACCCCTCAGCCATTCTCCCATCCTCATTCGGCAATTCCAAAGCATCCTTAAGCTCCGTATTAACTTTCAAAGACCCCGCAATCCTTCTTCGAATAGCGAGCTTCGCGCTGTCCACAAACGCCAGATCCAAGTTCCTACCAAACCTCTCCTCGACAAACGTATCCTGCTCCTCCTCCCCCGGAGAAAACGACTTGAATTGCACATCCCCACGGGAATACCTCTTCGGTCCCCTGCTTATGCGTGGAGGGCTCTGGGTAGCGATAGTACTCTTTTCGACCAGCAAGCCCTCATCAAATTCCCTCTGGCAGAACTCCGCCCTGCGAGAAGACACCCCGTCCCCCGTATGCTGCCAAAATTGCTTCGCAACCTTAGCTTCACCAGCAGGGTACATAACCGCGCAAAGGTCGGACGAGATGGGTCTCCCATCACCATAGCTTCCCTTCCCTGCCCTGCTCACGAACTCAACGACCCTAATAGTTGGTGCAGGGGTAGTCTGCGAGGTGGCCTTGATGAACTGGCGACATCTCGCTGCGACACAGGGAGTCGGGAAGAGCATTGCTTCTTCACCTGGTTGGCCGAACTTGGACAGTATCGTGCTTGCGAGCTTTTGTATGGACTTGTGGATGAAGAAGCGTGGATAACCGGTCTTCATCTTGCTGATTACCCATTCTGCTCCTTCTTCGTACCCGACGATAGATTTCCATGTTGGTAGTGAAACGCTCACTGCCTATTTTATTTTTATTTTTTTGTCGTTAAATGTCAGCCGTTTGTGTTTATGAAGCACCAAAAAGGGAGGGGGGTAAGATCATACATGTGGAGTGTTCTCCGGAATCGAGGAACCAACCACGCCAACCATTGTGGTGTTACAGTAATACCGTTGCTGTATTATATGAGGAGTGGAAAGTATGGAATGATAGATGCAGAGTTAAGGCGTGAGACGCGCGATGGAGGCAGGGCAGACAAGTTCCGGAATATATCATACACGGGAAAAAAGGAAAACGGTGAACTCTTGCAGTTTTACTCAGGGTCTCCCACCCTTTTGCGTTTGGGGAGTGGGGGGGGAGCCAGGGAGGGTTATCGATCAACACCAGTAGGGCATATCCTGGCCATCGGTTCCTCTCCCGAGTCTTTCTCCCGGCCCCCGACCGGTGGGTTAGGGTCCGAAGAAAGAAACAACGGTGCGTTTTCAGGATCGTTCCACTCCACATCTTGCCCATAAACACGATCCCCCAACAACAATGATTCAATTAAAGGTCTGTTGTTTATGCTTTCTGCCTTTGTACCGCTTATTGAAATGCTGGGCTGATATGTCTTTGTGCTTCCCACGGTAGTCGATGCTGAATTGCATCGACAATTCCGGCGCTGCGCTGGTTGAGTGTGTTCAAGTGCTTGGGAAGAAAAGGCCCGCTACCGTTGGTATGTGCAAGCTTACCGCCATCGCCACCACCAATCACTGCTGCTAGTGCTCCACTGTTACCCCTTATACATGATTGCTAAGGCTGTGGAATAGGTGATAAAATAGTAGTCGTCATACAGAAACAACGATCCCTAGGCCACGATCTTTCTGCCGCTGCCCAGGCCGCCGTGAAAGTTCGACGAGGAGATATCTCTCATGCAGTGGTTGTTCGGACGAGGAAGGGATATGGAAGGGCTGATGGGAGTTATATCCGATTCGACGACAACGCCTGCGTACTTATCAACAAGACCGGCGATCCACTAGGGACCAGGTTGAGCGGTGAGCCCACAAACCCCCTAGAACCGCATACAACGTGGGGAGGGATGGCTGATTATGGGATATAGGTGTCGTTGGGCGCGAACTCAAGAAAAAGAAGTGGTCAAAGATTTTATCCCTTGCTCCGGCCTATGTATGAATTTGTCGAAATAAAAAAATTTGCACACAAAGTTGGACTTTCCATTTGCATTAAAGTATGAAGGGTAGAGTACAGGTGCAAAGATCTATCGAATTATTTCTCCATCATACGCCGGACCCCAAGCGGTGAAGGAAAAAACGAACCCGCCGCCACTCCGCTACACAGCAACAGCACCTAATGAATAGTACCACAGGAGCAACAAACATGGAACAATCTCTGCGCAGCGTTAGCTCACAATCCGGTTCACTTGCCATCTTGTGAGGAAGAGGTAGCCCTGCCATCTTGGTATCCTCAGTTCTCTGCTGACTCTGGAAGAAGACACATTCGTTCTCTCCACACTTTGGACATGGCTTCATGGACCTCGGCAACTATCCATTCATCAGTGTCTCACCCCAACTCCCCACTACACCCCTAGCAGATCCTCCGGAAGACATACAGTAGGATCAGATCCAACATCCGTAGTCACACCAGCAGTCTCACCTGTAGACCCTCCAAGAGTATTTCTAAAAACGCAGTTGTTTGACGCGCTCTCTGTGGCCTGACAGGTACGGCAGCGATACATGAGGGTGTTATTGACGCGGTCCTAAAAGCGGTTTGTTAACACCCTCGCTCCGGCCATGTACCGGCGGCCGAAACAGACCTCATGAGGGTACAGCATGTTAGAGCTATTGCGATCAAATCAATAAAAAGTTTCCATGTCAATCAAACATAAAAACGCTCATACCATTCGCGACAGAAGCGGAAGGCAACCTTCTCACGGCGGCCACCGGTGGTAGGTGCAGGAGTTCCAGCGTCAGACATCGGAGAGAGAGAGATAGAAATTCTGTTCGAGTGATAGATAAGTCAAGAGTTTGAGCGCGGAGTGTTGCTGATAGCGCGTGTGTTTGAGAGAAGGGAGGTTTCCTGCCGCCTCCTCAGATCTCTATCATACGGAAACTACCAAAGCAGAGCTCGCCCGAGATTCATGGAAATCTTGGCACCGCCACCGGCCATTCGCCTCACTGACTCATCCCAAACCCCCAACTCTCATTCGTGCAACCAGAAATACCGTTTCAATATTGAGATCCACCCCGCCAAACAGTCCACCCCCCTCCCCCATCATCCCTAATTTCAGTTCGGCGAAAACCACACACCCCCGAAAAAAAACACAAATGGCCCTCGCATCGAGATGTTGTGCCAGAGTAGTGCGCCCTTCCTCCTTCAGCCTGAGACTTTCCCAACCGGTAGTTTACACTCCCGCCCGACGATGGAATTCCACCACCACCACCACAAATCCTAAGATTTCCGGGATCGTCGACCAGATCTCCGGCTTGACTCTCATGGAGACGGCAGATTTGGTCTCTCTCCTGAAGGTTCGTTCGTCGCTCCCGTATCTTCACCTGTTCCGACACTCGCATTAATGCATAATCTTGTTATACTAGTCCCGCTTGAATATCCCCGATGTCGCTCTCCAATCATTTAGCGCAGGTCCGGCAATCGCTGCGCCCGCTGCCGCTGCAGAAGAAGAGGCTGCGGCCGAACCGGTACAAGAGAAGACAATGTTCAATGTCAAGCTCATGTCCTTCGGGCCCGGTGCCAAGCCGAAGATCATCAAGGAAGTTAAGGGTTTGCTGGGACTGTCGCTGGTGGATTCGAAGAAGTTTGTGGAAAGCGTGCCGAAGATGCTGAAGGAGGGTCTTGTCAAGGAGGAAGCGGAGAAGATACAGAAGACTCTAAAGGACCTAGGTGCTGTGGCTGCTTTGGAGTAAGGAAGATTAGGGGGTCCTTAGAGTGGGGGGATATACCGGTATAATTCCCGGCGACATACCTTGTGGAAATTATTGCGTGGGGAGTATGTATATTTAGATGAATCACGAGATAGGATTCACGGTCTCTGTAAAAAATGCATCTTTACAAACCCTTTTTCTTACACCTGTATAAACTATTTTACAGAGTTGCAATGTTATGGACATTGGAGGTATTGAAAATGCCCTTTCGAACAGTACGAAATCCCGGAACGCCAGCCTTTTATGAACCTATACCTGAACATCCACGAGGTCATACAACCGATGCTGCCAGTATCTGATTCTCTTCCCTCATGATCTCATAGTCATCCTCATTGAGGTCGCTAACCTGATCCCACGCCTTTTCAAATTCGGGATTCGGAAGGCCATCGCTCGGCGGTGGAATGGCCCAGATATTTTCTCTAAGTCGTTTATGCTGTCTCACAGTTAGCACAGGGGGTAGCCAATTTCCCAAACCAATGGTATCTACATACCCGTTCTCTATCCTCTTCCATCCGCTGCTGTATAATCGAATCATCAAGCTTGCGTTTAATATCCTTACCCTCGTTGCCGGGTTCTTCGTCGTCGTCATCGTAAACACTCTCTTCTGGCGAGGCAACGGATCCCCTACCAACTCTCAGCATATAATCCTAATCCTCACTAGAATCCCAAGAGCTACCTGTGCTCCCTTTCCCTCTCTGCTAATAGAGCAGTGATCTCCTCCATAGAAATTTCATTCACAAACCCCTTACCCTGTAGATTCTGCATAACTTTCCTAACAGTACCGACATTTGCTGCTCCCTCAGAATTATTCGGAACAACAGCATCGACTACCTGCAGAATGTCCCGTCGAATCATGTCGGTGTAGCCACCATAGTCAGCTTTCAAGGAGTGATCGCATAGGACCTCTATAAAGTAGAGCATGTTGACGCGAGTATTCATTGTGACATCCTCCTAGTTTCTGCTGTTAGTATGCTTTCTTTAGATTGATAGGGCTGAAGTACCGATTGAAGTTGCTCGAGTATCACGCTGAATAAGTCCTCATCCAGTTCGCGGTTTCGGAGAGCGAATTGAGCGCATTGCTTTGAAGCTCCGGCGGAGGCATTTAGCCGGGAAAGAAGCTTTGTGAAGGAAAGCCGACAGGCAAATGGGTCATCCGTTGCCGACATCGTGGTATTAACTTGAGCGAACTTCTAGGGTGACAGGACTCGCGCTGTGGGTTGGGGAGGGTGCGGGAGAAAGCATGGGACTCGCTGGATTCGATGTGAAGGTTGAGCCGCATCACGTGGGAGGCAATGTTGCCACCCGAGAAACGATGTCTTGGCTTAAATGATGATCAAGGGACAAGAATCCAACCCACCTTGTAACTCAACCTTAACCAACTCCAACTTCACGATGCGCACCTTCGAAGTTAACAACGACCGACTAGGAGTCCTCTGTGGCCTTACACAAGATTCCGTCCCCCCGAGGACAAACAAGGCCCCCAACTCTCCGCCAGAAACAAAATCGAGGTCAACCGGAGCTTCTCCCCCTCCGAAGAACGAGGATAGGACTCCAGAGTCAAAGCCGGACGACCCATCCCGACCCCGAAAGTCTAAATTCAGGTTCAAGAGGAAGCGCCAGAAGGATTCACATCACCATCGTAGTCCCTCATCTCATCTACGGTCTCATCCCTCAAGCCGCCGCAAACGCTCTCATCACAAGCCTCTGGATGACGACCCGGCTGAGTACGACGACACATATATACCCAATCTATCTTCAGTGAACTTCGCTACCGCAGAAGATGCGTTTCGAGAATCACTGTTTGATGCTATGGCGGATGACGAGGGCGCTGCGTTCTGGGAGGGGGTCTACGGTCAACCAATCAATATCTATCCCCGCCCCGACGGCCGCGGGGAGCTAGAGAGGATGACAGATGAGGAGTACGCAGAATATGTACGATCCAAGATGTGGGAAAAGACACACGAGCACATTATCGAGGAAAGAATCAGACGGGAAGAAGCAAGGAGGGCCAGAAGACACCGGGATAAGGAGGAGCAGAAGATGTGGGAGGAGGAGGAACGCTCCAGACGCCGAGAAGAGAAGGCTCGAAGAAGGCTCGGGGATAAAGCCCGGGCTGAGAATCAGTGGAAAGGATACCTTGAGAAATGGAGGGAGATCTCGGCCGGCAAAGTGGATGGGGATATTCCTTGGCCGGTTGAGTCTGGGGAACTGAAGGATATAGAGAAGGCGGCTTTGGAGCGGTTCTACACGGACATCAGGGGCTGTCTAGGCGAAGATGAAGGCCTTGTGGACGTTTTGAAGGTTGAGAGAATTCGATGGCATCCTGATAAAGCCCAACAGAGATGGGGTAAGCGGGGCCTCAGTGAGGAGGAGCAGAGAGGCATCACGGCTGTATTTCAGACCGTGGATTCGCTCTGGGTTGGATACAAAGGGCGGAAGTAATAATAATAAAAGATAAATAAATAGCATCCACAGTTGGGATCTCTGGTTTTGTTTTTGCCCGTTTACTCTGGGTTCTCTGTGTACAGTACTGTTGGAGCGTTTTTAACTGGCTAGAAAACCTGTCTATACGGTGTCACTACTCGAGCAGACAAACTGGCGTTAATCCGGATTCACAGATAGTTTTATACAATGGTGTATTGCTAAATCTCTAGCACTATGGCTGGGCCTGGCCTGTTTAACCTGAGCGACAATTCCTCGGGGACCCGTTTACGACACAGTGCCATAATTCCAACACCAACCGAACAAAGTGATGAAGTGATGCACGGACAAGGTGGTCCAGTATCCATAAATCTGTGAAGCCACCGCCAGTTTTACCCAGTAGCGGCCACTCACGGCCGCGTTGCACCGCATTCAGGAGCCCGGGGCCACCCAAACTTCAATACGATCCCGGCGAAGGAGGGGAGGGCAAATATCCGATTGATAACCCATGAAGCGATATACTACCGGCTCATGCCGGTTGAAGCGCTCGTCCAATGAGAAGCAGACAATCACAATTCCCCAGTGCTCGCGCAGCATGGAAGCCACGAGAACAAACCACCTGCATGGAGCCCGGGCGTTATCGGGCTTGATGATGCTTCATGTACTCGAGTACTGTACTCGAGTACAGCATTGTGCCATACTTTTGCTGTGCCGGCGCTACCAAATTGATTAATTGCCCCCCACTCTCCGAAATCTACTCTGATATCCTAGAGCCAGAGCCAACCAGATGCGTGCAACAAAAACTGTGGGACTGAAGAGTGCTTTTCCTTCCTTTCTTCCTCCTCCCTCCCTTACTCGAGTACAGTTGCATTGCAGGGCAGGGCATTTCGGGAATTTAGCATTGTTGCTTGCCACTGGGGAACCTTCAGCGCTAGATTGAAAATCGCGCAGTGATGCCGGTGTTGGTGGTGGCCCCTCATTTTGTTTATCCGTGCATACGTCAGGCGATGGGTGCCCCTCCAAACTTTTGGTTTTGGTTTGGTTTGCTTGCTCTCATGTTTGGTCAGACGCAACATAAACCTCCGCCTCTGCTCTTTCCATCCTAACTTTGTTGCTGTAGTTCGTTGCGTTAACCATCCATAACAGTTGCTCTATCAAAGGAGGAGAACAAGGTCGGCCCTCGGAATCATCACTACTCCCTTTTGTGTAGGAAGGACTGCTCTTTCTGGTAAATCAAGGCACGTTGACATTCTCTCATCATTTCTGTGGTTTTCGCTTTCAATTTTGTTTCCCTGTTTTTGCTATAGATGGACCTTTTGGGTTCGAGATGTACCCCGCTCTGCTTCCCCGCTCATCTGCTGTCCCATCTTGTACGATGGGGGTATCCCATTTTTATTGCACTTCTATGCAGATGAGGGGGATATTTTTTCTTCTTGCCTTTATCAGCCTGGATGTTTCATGTGGGAATGTGCCGTTAACTGTTCAGAAGCAGGAACAAACCATGCCTTTCAGTCTTGCTTCGGAATTGCCCGCCTGGAAGACTCTCCAGGATCATTACCAAACCGTCAAGACATTGCACTTGTCGGATTTGTTCGCTCAGGACCCCAAGAGGGCCGAGAGGCTCTCTCGTTCGTTCCTTAATGATGCCGATGGAAACGAGATTTACTTTGACTTCAGCAAGAACTTCCTCACGGAGGAGACTCTTGGACTCTTGATCAAACTAGCTAAGGAGGCTGATGTCGAAGGACTTCGTGACCGAATGTTCAGGGGTGAGAAGGTCAACTTCACCGAGGAGAGAGCTGTATACCATATGGCTCTACGCAATGTTTCAAACAGGACTATGGAGGTTGATGGGAGGAGCGTTGTTGAGGGCGTCAACTCCGTACTGGAGCATATGAAGGAGTTCTCGGAGCAGGTTCGCAGCGGTGGGTGGAAGGGGCATACCGGTCAGCGCATCAGGAGCATTGTGAATATTGGAATTGGTGGCTCCGATCTGTGAGACTCTCCTGCCATTCCTGACGAGCCTGAGTATTAACAATGATGTAGTGGGCCAGTCATGGTTACAGAGGCTTTAAGGCCTTACGGGCACCCTGACCTGACTTTGCATTTTGTGTCAAATATTGACGGCACCCACATCACCGAGGCCCTCAAGTCTTGCGATGCAGAATCGACACTGTTCCTGGTCGCTTCAAAAACCTTTACTACCGCCGAAACTTGTACAAATGCAAACACGGCAAAAGAGTGGTTCTTGAAGCAGAAAGGTATCGATGGGGATAGATCTGCCATTGCAAAACATTTTGTCGCTCTCTCCACCAATGAGGTGGAGGTCACCAAATTTGGAATTGACGCCCAGAACATGTTCGGTTTCGAATCGTGGGTTGGCGGAAGGTACTCTGTTTGGTCGGCAATTGGATTGAGTGTTGCCCTTTATATTGGATTCGACAGATTCCATGAGTTCCTTGCTGGTGCTCACGCTATTGATAATCACTTCCTAAGCAAGCCTTTGGAAGAGAATATTCCCATTATTGGAGGTCTTTTGAGCGTTTGGTATAGCAATTTCTTCAATGCCCAAACTCACTTGGTCTCGCCGTAGGTTTACCCTCATGAGTAGCACTTATATGATTATACTAAACACTTTGGAGCAGATTCGACCAATACCTTCACCGCTTCCCCGCGTACCTCCAGCAGTTGTCCATGGAGTCGAACGGAAAGTCTGTTACTCGTGATGGTAGCATCGTAAATTACACTACCGGGGCTATCTTGTTCGGGGAGCCAGCCACCAATGCTCAGCACTCTTTTTACCAGCTCCTTCACCAAGGAACAAAGTTCATCCCTACTGACTTCATTCTGGCCGCAGAGTCTCACAACCCTGTCGCGCCAGACAACAAGCACCAATCGCAAGTAAACACCTCCCCCACCAAATCCGGCATTAGCTAATCTGAGAATAAGAATGTTGGCCTCCAACTTTTTTGCACAGGCCGAGGCCCTCATGGTCGGAAAGGATGAAGGGCAGGTTCTTGCAGAGGGTACTCCCGAGAGGCTCAAGAACCACAAGGTATTCCGTGGCGATCGCCCAACCACCGCCATACTAGCCCAAAAGATCACCCCCGGCGCTCTTGGTGCCTTGATCGCTTACTATGAGCACCTTACCTTCACCGAAGGTGCCATCTGGAACATCAACTCGTTCGACCAATGGGGTGTCGAATTGGGCAAGTCCCTTGCGAGTAAGAGCTCTCCATCCCAGTGAATGTGGGGAATTGTGACTGACATTATGGATAGAGAAAATTGGTTCCGAGCTCGAGACGCCCGGAGATGTATCTGGACACGACGGTTCTACCAATACACTTATCAACAAGTTTAAGAAGATGTCCAGCGCGGGCAAGGTTGAGTACAAGCTTTAGCTTGGCGGTTTGGGGGAAATTTTGTTTCCTATTTAGCTTCTTTCCTGGGCCATGCGATATGTAATGTAGGGGTCACGTTTGCCTTTTTGGTATCGTCTATAGACTGTTGGTCCCCTTGCGTGGGTAGTTGCGGTGCATGAAACAGTGGCTACGTGGAAAACTACAGAGAGTCTCCCAGCGGTGATGTGATGAATCGACTTGATCCTGCCCGAGTGCCCGTTTGCGGGCGACCGGCTGGCCCGGTATTTCGCAAGAGAACTCCATTGTAGCAGTAGTAACAAAAAGACAAGGTAGAAGGATATGTAATAAAACTAAAAGGGGAATCTTTGCGCCATTTCCCTGCAATGCTTATCCCCTCATCCAGACATGCTCGTCGTTCAAAAACAAAAGAAAATCAGTTTGCGAGAATCATCTTGACGAAGTCTACTCTAATGTCAGCATCGAACACGCTCGAGCCCGATCCAGAGGGGAATATATACCAGTGTAGTTGACCTGATCGCCATGAATGTTCATGCCCTTGAGTAACTCATCAACTTCATCATTGGTGAGCTTCTCCCCAAGAGAAGTAAGAACTATCCACCATCGAATTAGCAACCAGCTCACAGTGCACAGAGAGAACACTAGGGAGAAAAAAGTATACCGTATCGCAGCTCCCCGACCCCAATATACCCCGTGCAGTCCTTATCAAATACTTGAAACCCCCTGACAAACTCATCCGGCTCCCCCGGATCACGGAACCCATTCGGACGATTCAGGATTTTCAAGAACGACTCAAAATCCACTGAGTTTTCAACCGAATATTAGCTACAAGCTTCGAAGGGGGGGAGGGGGAGGTGCTTACGGTCACCTTTGGGTGCAGAGTTATGGATTAAATCGTCAACCTCTGCGTTTGTGGGATTCTGTCCACAGGCTCTGAGAAGGTCGCCTAAGGAGCTTAAGGGGATACGTCCGTTCCCACGCTTGTCGAAGAGAGCGAAGGCTTCCTTGTAATTTGTTGTTGCCTTTGTAAGGGGTTAAACTATGTTAGCTTTTTTTCTTCCTTTCCCTCGCTCCGCTTTTTTGCGGCAACATGAGCCGCAAAGAGGGAGATGTTTTCTGCTCACCATTTTCTGAGTCTGTTGGTTGTACGCGGGTATGGTACGGTTTGGTATTCGAGGGGGTAAAGGAAAAAAGAATAAAAAATGGAGGGGAAGTGGGATGAAGATGTGAATAGGATGGGATGGAGAACGGAGGTGGGCGGCTGGGCTTCTGCTGGCAGGGAGGTTGTTTTTGAGGACTTTTCTGGGCAAGGGTGTTTGTTTGTTTTGCACAACAGGGAGGTTGCCAAGGTGAGTGGTGCAGCGACCAGTAGTCTAACCCTTAGACCACCATAGGTATGATAGTCAACCTCTCTTGCTGCATCGTATCATAATTTCTTCACCTCCAACCTCCTCTATTCCACATTTTAAACCCATCAACTTTGAGCCTGATTGCTTGGGGCACTGGTCATGTTGATAACGACATTTTAGCCCTCTCCCCTTCAGTAGCAATGAACCATTCTTTGTTCTTCTCGCAGGTATCGTACCTGGGTATACTTTCTATGATAGGTTTTCTGCGAGCGATTGCCGTACCGCGCATCCACAACTGTAATTGTACAGTATCACCCCCTCGTAGACTCGACTCAATCCCTTTGCCGGCGGTCTGTCAGCGTCCCCAAAAAATCAGTTGGAATAACCCTCAGTTTGATACTCGAGTACTCGAGTACTGTATACTCTCCAGTAATTTCTTTTCCTTTCCGGATAGATCCCTTGGGCGCAGCACAGCCGGAGTGGGTCGAAACCTTAGGTTCTTGACAGGAACACGCCATAGCCCACAGAGGCCATGATACCAGCCAATTTTGACCTCTAATCTATTACTTGCTGCATTGCACCGAAGACCACCTTTAGCAAAGCTGGGACCCCCAATGGCAACTACTTCTGTGGCTAGAGGAGAAAGGGGGGGGCTAGCTACATTACAGTTTGAGGGCAAAGGTGCCGATGTACTCGAGTACTCTACTCGAGCACTGTACGAGTACTCGTACAGCACTAATTACACCAGTACGGTACATGAATAAGATAGGACGCTCTCTACGCCTGAGTATTGTTCATGAGAATTCGAGAGAGCATCAATAAACAGTATGATGCTTCTTTTTACTTTTTTTTACTTTTTTTCTTTTTATGATACTTGATCGTTTTTCAGTACTCGTGCCAGTGCCAGCTCAACATGACTTGTGGCTCAACTCAACTTTTTGTGGCTTAACATAGTATTGTCCACCAATATAGTTTTTTTTTTTTTCAACTTAATATAGTTTTTCATGGAGCTTAATGGATTCTTGCTATTCAGCTTAAATGTATTTATTTCTTTGCAGCTTAATAGAATATTATTTCTTTATAGATCAATGGAATATTGCTATTCAACTTAAGTGTATGGCACTTTAAAGGCAGCCTGAACAACAATCGCAGGGTATCGTTCATGTGCACCTGTACCCGCCGGGAAATCTTCGAGTCCTCACCATAAAGTTTGAGGCCGTAGAGCACCATTGGTAGGTAAACTGCTTGGAACCGCTGCTAGACCTCCCAGGCGCCCAATCCTTTTTCTCCATGGTATCTGCGGGCCACCGCCGCAATTCTGTTCCTCACATCCAGTCCCCGCCTCCAACCAATATTCCCCATGGACTTGCCAACCTCCCCCTCTCTCGAGTCTAAAGCCTAACAGTCTGATGTCTCCCCCAGCCTTTACCTGTACCCCATCCAGGTCAAGCGAACCCCACTCCTCCTTTAGTCCAAACCCTAACCATTCCGTCTTCTGTAGGCTAAAGTCCATCCCCCTACACCTAGCCACCTTAACGTAGTGGTAGGTTGCGTTCAGGATGTCAGTAAACTCGTGGCTGGCAGCGAGAGCCGGGAATTTTCGGCCCTGCGAGATGTGGAAGGTCTCTCTTGACCTCTACAGCTCCGTTTAAGCATATTTCCGAGTTACTCTTTGGATCGTGCCTCTCGACAGGATGTACAGATATTTCCGCCTACCTGCGGCGTATGCGATTGTGCCGGATAGGTCGAACTGGGCTGTTGATATAGGGGTGTTGCGCAGGTGTCCAGATCTGGCGCGGGGGGGGGGGTCTGTAGTGCCGTTTGTGTAGTAGAGGTGGAGGGTTGAGTTGGGACCTGTGGAGAGGAGAAGGGAGTCACGGGAGAGGAAGTGGAGGGTGGATATCATTTACCGGCCACCCGTTAATTGCTTGATGCTTAACAGAAGGGGAGTTGGAGGTATACCAAGTTACCGACACACCCTTTTCCCATCCACAAACCTATGGCCAACTCCTCCGGCCGCAACCTCCCTAGAACAATACATCTCCAGTTCGTAGTGCTCCCTAGAATCTGTCTAACACTAGGCGCAGATCTTACCGCCTCTTAATCCCCATCTTCCTCCTCCGCCCCCGCCCCGCCTATGCCTTCGTCACTACTCCCTGCAGCTGCACCGTCTGACCTCACCCTCTTCCTATCCGGAACACCAACGTACAGCATACCGGGACCCCTTCTTAAAAATGAGGTCTTCGGTCGCGGTATCGCAAAGCTTATGGGCCGGCCTACCATGGCCAAAGAACTGGTCATCTTGAATCGCGTTGTGGGTCTGCTCCCACATACTCATGTCCGTCGCTGACCAGCGCGGTCCCTATTCCTTCATCGCTGGCATTAGAAGATCCATCGTCGACTTTGTTCATCCAGTCTGCGCACCCTTCTGCATTGCCGAAAAGCAACACAGGAGGAGGGCTCAATCAATAATTCATCAGAGTTGTCTTGGCAAACTGGAATTTACTGTAGTCGGTTTGTTGAGCCTCATGTCCGTTGTCCCCATTCGTGCAACATGTGGTTAGAGCCGCAAAAGTCTAAGAGGTAACCAAGCATGACAATTATTGATGGGGATGTTAATGTGAGGCAATAGTGTGAGCATGAGTACGATACAACCAGCTACACGGTGAAGCAGCATTAACTTTGCTAGCTTTTCTTTGTATATTTAATCATGGAACCCTACCAAAGAGAGGAATAGACGGATTCCTGGAAACTACTATGGTTTTCAATTGTGTTGCCAGGCAAGCGCTAGCATTGCATAAGGTACAAACTGGGGGCAGCACACTCAATGCTAGGCCTCTACGGATAACTCAATTCTTACCTACCGCTCTTTCTTCTAAATGGGCACTCCACCATACTAATTTTACCCCAACAACAAACAAGATAAGAGACATGTCTAGAACTCAAATATAGACGTGGGAGGCCAGACTCTAACCGATTCCGCATGCCTGAGTTTACCCCCCTCATAGGAGATGAAGAAAGCAATTTGGCATGCCATCTAGTCACACAAGCAAGAGGCATTGATACCTCTAATCCCCGAATGTCCGGTCGCCCGCTCTCGTACTGAGTAAGTGCCGAAGAATCATTCCTAGCCTGAGACTATGCAGGCCACTTTGAGGGCATATTGGCATGAGATGAACAATTAGGTGATCCCCACCGCCGAGCATACACACACACCCTCTGGTACTAGATTCTCCCCACTTCAGCGTTGCGTGAGAGCCGGGCCCCATTCATATTTATAATATTTTAATACTACATTCCGCCTTGAAGGGGGAGGGGCGCCCGACACAGCAAGCAAACAGACAGTCCGACCAGGTAATTGATTGATAGATCCTTATTTGAGATTTAAATCACAGCTAGAATTTGGTATCCAAGCATCATTCGATCCCATTCGGCTTGTTAGATTGTAGTTATCAGCCTCTGCACCCCATATATATTGGATTCCACCGCCATCCAATCCCCTCTGTAATTTCCTTCGCCTCCCGTCACTGCGCGGACCCGCCGATGAAAGTACTTCACATACAAATAATGGGCACTCCCACTCGAAGCCATCAGTTCACTTCCGCATTCACTAACTCTAACATTCAGTGCTAATTTAAAAACAACCACATACTGCATCGAACATACCGTACTACACCGTTTGGGCTGGGGTCACTTTTCTCTTGGCGCCATAACTTCCTAATCCATTCGGGGGTGGTGTGTTCTCTCGGAGCGTTATAGAATCCCTCGTAAGCACGCTCAGAAGGTTTCCGGCTTAAGGATATTGCCTATATTTTGTTTTATACTCAGTTACCAGGCAGACAAGAAGTGTGCGAGTGCTGCAATATTCTACTATGTGTGCTCCCAGCCAAGTACCTTCTGGCTCCATTCCAGTGCGTGCCGAGGTTCTGGCCTGATCTCATCATTGTTTCCCCAGCCCGTTAGATGCGGGAGTGAGATTGCCAAAAGTAGTATTGTCGTAGGATGACCAGAGAGTTCTATGGCTTTCTCCTTCCCCTCTTCTGTGCCCTGGGTGGTGGTTACGGAATAATCATAATTTACTTTCTCCTACGCTAATATAGCCGGGTTGTTATCAATCAATAGGGTTATGTTATTGAGGAATCTGAGAAAGAACCACTTAATACGCGTCTCCTGCTTTGTTACTTCCCACCGTTCGTGGACTTCACACACAGGAGTTCTTCCGTCCCCGGGAACAATACCCCAGCTCCTTACCCGTCGCCACCTCCCTCCCCCCCTTACTTCCCCCTCCTACCCCCCTCGCTACACCCCCCCTCCAAGACCCCCTTCCCGCCCCCTCAATGCCCCACACCCACAGACCCCTAACCTCTTTTCCATATCTTTTCAACAAGGTAATCAGCTCCTCCATATCCACTGGTAAACAGGCACTGAATCTCTCACCTCTCAAAGAAAAAAGAAAAAAAATGATATAAAAGGAATAAGTGCTCAATTCTTGTGGTATAAGTGAGATCTGTGATTGTGACGAACAAACCAGCATAGGTCAGGGTGTTGGGACTGTCGGCAGTGCGGAAGAAGGAAAGGAAGGCTCAGGTGTTGTGGGTGTTTGGGGGAGGATGCAAGAAGGCTGTTGATGGTTTCTTTCATTTCAGAGATACAAAGAGATTCGGAGAAGGTTCCTCATTCATGTCTTTCTTTTGTTATCATAGGAGTGTGCAAGGGAGTGGAGATATGCATGGGGGACATGAGAGACGTGTGGTGATCGGTGGAAGGGCAGAGATGATTGGATGATGGTTGATATATACACCTGTCTTTACCGGTAGTTGGAGAGATGAGTGACAACGATTATTTTTTTTTTCACCTTTCTATAGTTCTTTAGTTG